CCTCCTCCTTGCAAGCCCCCCTCCCCCGCTGACCACCCCCTTCCCACAGCCCCCACCCTCTGGCTGGGCCCCTCCCTGCAGCCACCCACCGCTGACCGTCCCCCTCCCTGCAGCCACCCCGCTGGGGCGGGAGGAACCGGCCCATCAACGTGAACCATTACGCCAACAAGAAGAGCGCGGCTGAAAGCATGTTGGACATAGCTCTGCTGATGGCCAACGCGTCCCAGCTGAAGGCTGTGGTTGAGCAGGGCCCTGCCTTCGCCTTCTTTGTGCCCCTGGTGGTCCTCATCTCCATCTCCCTGGCGCTGCAGATCGGCGTGGGGGTGCTGCTCATCTTTCTCGGTAGGTGGTGTCTGTTTGCACGCCCTGGGCACTGAGCGCTCACGGAGCTGCCTGGTCTGGGCCCTTCTACCAGGCCATGTGGTCCAGGGTGTGGCCTCTCCCCACACCTACACTTTGAAAGAGCAGAGAGCAGAGTCAGGATCCTCAGGGCTGTGGGGTTGGGACACCTGCTTCTCTGGCCCTCAGTGCTCCGTGCCCCAGATGGTCTCAGCTGTGCCAGTCCTCACGGCCTGAGAGGCTGGCCCACTAGTCAGTGCCCAGCACAGGCTCAGGGCTGTCATTGGTGACGCTTGTCCAGCTAAGTTACACAGGAAGTGAGCGAGGACCCTGGGCCCCAGAGGAGTGAGAAGGGATGCTGGGCCCTGACGGCCGTTTCTGGACAGTGACCAGCCATTGGCATTCCTGCTGTTTTTGAGCGTACACCCGAAGTTCAGGCTACAGCCACCAACGTTCCAGTCTTCCCCCGAACTAAGTAACTAGATCTCACCTCAACTTCAGACCGACTTGCTCTGCTGGGTGGACAGACGGGCAGAGGGACCACAGGCAGGCGGGGAGGTGGGGCTGGGCTCCTGGGGTCTTCCCCGGAGTCTCCCTGGGAGGCTGCCTTTCAGCTGCCAGAGCTCCCAGCAGCTCCCTTGCTGCCCATCCAGGCGGGGACCTCTGCAGGAGCAACCAGGGTTCCAGTTCACTCCTCCTGACCGCCTGGCTGTGTGACCTGAGACTAGTGACTGACCTCTGGGGCCTCAGTTTCCCCAAATGGGCATAATCAGAGGATTAATAGATTAAGTCATACAAGGGGCTAGCACATTGGCCTTGGAAACCAAACCTGGTCTTGGGCTGACGTCCAGGAGCAGCGTCCTCAGCTCTGTGACCTCAGGCGCTTGGCCTGTCTGAGCTTCAGTTTCTTATGGAGAAAGTGGGCGTGGGGATGCCTGCAGAGGTAAGGTCACAGACAGCAGGGCTGCCCGAGCCACGGACCCCATCGTCAGTGTTTTAGTGAAACAGAAGTATTTTCCTCCGGGGGACAAAACTCACTCCAAATGCAGCCGAGGGCCCTGTAAGGTCCCCTCAGCGCAGCTTGATGCACGGCTCCCCAC